CTGGCGCTCGAGCTGAAGGTCTGTCCACATAGCTCCCCGCTCGAGCGTGAACTTACCCGTTCGAGCGGACATCCAAGTCTGCAAAAATGTTGGGAGCACAAATTTCACGCTTGTCACGACCCAAACCCGCCCCTATGAGTTTAGCATAGTAACCGGCCAGTAATCTGTGATTACCAAAGGCCTGCTTATCAGTAAGACAGTAATATAGAGTATAGGGGCTGGCGGAAGTCAAAACAGTAATAAAAGATGTCCAATGAGCTGTGACAGTCTGTATGCAAAAAGACTTTTTAAACATATACACATTCAAACCATAACAGCATATACATACATCACATACAATCATTTACAGGCATTCAGGTTAGGGACCAAATCCCTACCATAACAGTACAGTAACAGTCTATACAGTCTATACAAAACAGAGACAGAAAATGGAGAATCTAAAACACCCCGAAGTAGCCTTAGCTTGGCAGCACTTGGAACGTCGCAGTGAGGCATGTTGGTTGGATTAATAAAGACTTTTTAAACATATACACATTCAAACCATAACAGCATATACATACATCACATACAATCATTTACAGGCATTCAGGTTAGGGACCAAATCCCTACCATAACAGTACAGTAACAGTCTATACAGTCTATACAAAACAGAGACAGAAAAGGGAGAATCTAAAACACCTCGAAGCAGCCTTAGCTTGGCAGCACTTGGAACGTCGCAGTGAGGCATGTTGGTTGGTTGGATTAATAAAAAAGGAGTTTAAACCCCATGCCCCTAGCTCCGATCCGGTGCCTGGACACCTACATATATATATAAACAGTGAGCTAAAACCCAGTGAATAACATATACGTAAAGCGGTTAAGAATGAATGTCTTTTCAGTATTTAAAACAGTCATTTGAACAGTATATCGGTCATTCAGTTTGTGGCTCATAATTCACGCCATAACAGTCATTCAGAAACTATAATAGTCATATGTCGTACATCCAATAGCAAAATAGTACAATAGGTCTTAACAGACCGAACAGTCAGTTGATGGCCATCATATCAGTAAACAGTAGTGGTTCCAAACATGGGAACTGACAGAGATCTCTGTAACAGTAACAGTAACAGTTCAGTAATAGTAAATTGCTATGGATGCCACGAATACAGTTCACAAATAGGACAAACATTCATTCAATAAACAGTGTCATTTTATAAAGCAGTGCAGTTATTTATTCAGAAAATAATTTCAATTAAACATATCTTTACAACATTGTTACTCACAGAGCACTGGGCTATAAGCAGCTAGAGCGTCCTTGGATGCCAACCCTACAGTTACAGAATGAACACACACTGAGCTACACAGTTGGGAAGTAATAACTTAATCCCTAATTTGCCTCGGTGTGGTTCTACATCAATATCCTCATTAAGATACCTTAAACTAGACCTAAGAATGGCTAGGATGGAATGAGGATGCAAAGATGCACTTTTAAACACTTTTCAAAATTTGCTGAAACAGGGGTCCACGCTCGAGCGTGTAATTCTACGCTCAAGCGGACATGCAGAACAAAGGAGCTTCGCTTGAGCGTGGTTTTCCCCGCTTGAGCAGACTGTAAAATCATGCAAAAGTATTGGATGCATGCAATTCACGCTCGACGGACGCTCGATCCCCGCTCGAGCATGAGACACAAGTCCTTGCTCGAGCGTGCATTCCCTCGCTCGAGCGGGCTGTAAACATGGGTAAAGTACTAGATACACGCATTTCCTGCTCGAGCATCACTTTCCCCGCTCGAGCGGACTGCATGAACTCAATGTATATGCTCGAGCGTGGAGTTCCACGCTCGAGCGTGAGTCCAAAATCTGGAATTTCCAGATTTGAACCTCAAGCTCAAAACTCAACTTTAATGCATCAAATTCAATCCTTTTGGGCTAATTTTCTGGAAAACACTTATAAACTCATAATATGACATGTTTCAAAGATCAATTTGAGAAACCAAAGCCCAAAGGTAGTTCCATTGAGCACAATTTTCATCCGAAGTTCAAAAACATAATTTAAATGTGACATGCAAGTGCTCAACCAAATTCAAAGCTTCAATGCAAGCTCAATTAAGTTTAAACTTCCAAAAAACGTGATGAATTCACGTACTAGAACTATAATATGAACATGCATGTAACAATTTCCTTGAACATAACCTCAAAACTTCCATATAAGGACATGCTTGTGTGGATTAAGCTTCAATTCAACATGTTAGAACCAATTCTAGACTTAGATCACTAAACTTCCATGAATCATGCAAGATATAACTCAAATGCAAGCTCAAGAATATGGTTCCTCTACCTTATGCCTTCAATTCCAAGTCTAGAAGTTCAATTTGCCAATTCTCTCTTCAATTCTTCCAAGTTTTCCAAGCCAATTTGAGATGGAATCAAGCTTTCTCCTACTCTCTCTCTCTCTCTCTCTAGTCGGTTTGTCTCTCAAAATGGCTGAACAAAAAGTATGTCTAAGTGTATTCAAGCCTCAAGGTGTTGGAGAAAGTGGCCCACTAAGCATGGCAATTTGGTGAATAAGTCCAACTCTTGTAAACTAGCATTATTTAATCCAATTTAAACATACCAAATCACATTTCAATTAAACATATCATAAAATTGCATAAATTCTAGTCAACACATAACACTTATCATTTTCATATTCGACCGCTGATAAGGCCTTCAATTTGCAGTTTAAAACATAACATATGAACAGATCATTTAACAGTCAAACAGATAGACATGCATTTAAACTAACACACTCAATCAATTAGCTCAGAATTTCAACCAATTCAATTACTTATCATGATCAGTCTCAGTTTAGCAGTAATCGGTGGTGTTATCAGTAAACAGTAGTGAGGGTTGTCACAACGCTCGAGCGGAAGTTTCCTCACTCGAACGGACATCAAAATTCTGGAAAACCCAGAATTGTTCTTTGAGCTCAATTCAACCTTCCGATCAACATTTCAAGCATATAATAGCTCAAACTTCAAATATGCTTGTGCTAACATGATACAAACACCAAATTATATCATTATGAAGCTCAATTTCATGAATCAAACACTTGCATGTCCCAAATTAACCCAAACTCATCACCAACTCATCAAATTCATGCATTCAAAGCTCCTACTCTTATAAATTGTACATGCACGTGATATATTACCCTCATTTCAACTCACATGGTACAAATGGTGATTGTAAACATGAGCTTCAACTAGAAACTTACATGGATCATGCATTTCAAACTCAAACATGCAAATTCCAAACAATTATACATGCAAGCATACATTGACCTTCAATTCAACATTATCAACTCAATTTCATTTTAATTTTTACTCTTGATCATTAATCAACTTGAATACACCAAATTATACATTAACTCATGAATTCAAAATCAATTGATTACCTAGAAGCTCAATCTTCTCAATCTATAGCAAATTCTTGAGTTTAATCCTCCAATCTTCACAAACTTGAGCCAAACACCCAACTCTCCTTCTTCCTCTCTCTAGCCGACCCCTTTCCCTTTTCTTAGAGTTTATAATCAGCCAAATGAAGCTAAGGAGAAAAATTGAGTGTATAAAGGCCCCTTATAAGTTCCCACTCAACACATTATTTTATTATAAAACAATTTGGCACTAATTCCTTAATTAAATCAATTTAATCTGATTCAAATCAATTTTCAATTAAATTTTACCGTAGGCTCTAAAAATTACGCTAATCACAAAGGCGCAATCGATTTCAGTTTTTGTGGCCGATAGGGCCTTCAATTTAATTTCCAAAGCAGATAATCAAACAGATATTCCTACGGTGAACAGATAGAAATTCAAAGCCACATATTTTCACATAATGGTACACAAAATCACATTAAACACATAATCATATTCATATTAAGGACCAATTAGCACAAAACGGAACAAGGTTATCACAGTTCCATAAAGGTTTATTTTTTTAAACAAAAAATTTAGTCCTGAAAGTATAATACTTTGTTACTAAATCCATAGTTTTACAGCTAAAAATATAACGAAATATTTTTGTAACAAAAATATTTTATTTTTAAAAAGTGATTTTATCTCTAAATTTTAGACTCTATTTGTTTTGTTTGTTTTTTTGTGATAGGAGTCTGTATTTCTTGTAGTGAAGAGACTTGGTACAAATGTAATTGACAAACATAATTGTGTAGTTTAAAAGCAAAATAATAATAATAATAACAGCGACGAAGCTGGAGTGTAAAGAGATATTCTGGTGAAATTAATAGAGAATTCTTTCAAAAAAACAAAAAACAAATGGTAGAAGGACTCTCGACTAGTGGAGGAGGGAAATTAAAAGAGACTTACATGTGCATATTATCCAATGGTTTTTACTTGACCACCGAATAATGCAGAAAAGTTAGGGATCATAAAAAAAAATTTATGAAAATGATTATAAAAAATTTATGATCTTTAGATTATTTTGATTAATATGTAATGCTTTATTTTAAGTGTAATTCAAAAGTCACAAAATTTTTATGATTATTTTCATAAAAAAATTTTCATGACACCTAACATTGTTGTTCCTGAAATATCACGTTACTTGAAATAGTCTCTTGTTATCGTCAAAAAGGGTCGAAGCACATCCTTGGTATTGGGAAGGTCCCACACTAGTGATTCCCACCAATCTATGTCATTGCTAGTGGCGTTGATCTGTTCAAGAGTCATGGGAGCAGACGGTTGTCCATTATTATCAATGGGCAAAAACAAAGGGAGCCTCTTCAGCTTGGGGCACTCTATTATATTAATTTCTTTAATGGAATCACAAACCATTATTCCTTCGCAGATGCTCTCCAATTTCGCCAGAGTTCGCAGAAAAGTTAGGGATCATAAAAAAAAATTTATGAAAATGATTATAAAAAATTTATGATCTTTAGATTATTTTGATTAATATGTAATGCTTTATTTTAAGTGTAATTCAAAAGTCACAAAATTTTTATGATTATTTTCATAAAAAAATTTTCATGACACCTAACATTGTTGTTCCTGAAATATCACGTTACTTGAAATAGTCTCTTGTTATCGTCAAAAAGGGTCGAAGCACATCCTTGGTATTGGGAAGGTCCCACTCTAGTGATTCCCACCAATCTATGTCATTGCTAGTGGCGTTGATCTGTTCAAGAGTCATGGGAGCAGACGGTTGTCCATTATTATCAATAGGCAAAAACAAAGGGAGCCTCTTCAGCTTGGGGCACTCTATTATATTAATTTCTTTAATGGAATCACAAACCATTATTCCTTCGCAGATGCTCTCCAATTTCGCCAGAGAATCAAGCTCCAATCTCTTCAATTTGGGAAGAATGAAAGGCATATCGTAATTATTTCCGAAGAAGCTTGTTTCCATTCCTTCGCAGATGCTCTCGAATTCAGATAGAGAACAAGAAAGACACAATCTATTTAGCTCTGAGAGAGTGGTACGAGCACCATCGAATATCTCCTCAATTTCATTGCAGTTTCTGATCGTTATCTGTTCCAAGTGTGGCAGCTGCAAGCCAGGCGTGAACACGCTCTTCATTTTGGGACAACTCGAGATTTCCAAGTTTCTAAGATTAGAAAAGGTGCCATGAGGTGCAATTACTCCAAACCCCAACTCGGACCCCGCCAACTTCTTCCACCCAATTAGGCCCCTGAGATCCTGCAAATCAATGAGGATCAATATCTGAACGCTTTGAAATGGGGCATTACGGGACTCTCCTAATTGATCACCATCTACTTCCATCTCCTTCTCATTGCGGGATGAAGACGAGAAAGTGGAGGAGAAGAAAATGGATAGGATGCTCTGTATCCCTCTGCAATTATTGATTGCACAAAACTGCAGGTGTCTTGCATTACCCCAAAATGACGGGAAAACATCACAAAAACAGTCGCTAGTAAACCATTGATTCCTAATCATTAAGGCCTCAAGATCGTATGGGAGAAAACTGACGTCTTCTTCTCCTCCATTGGTAATGCACCCCTTCCCCATCCATCTCACGGATTTGCTATAACTTCTATCCCAAAAATCCATATCATCTGCAAGCTCAAGACGATACCTGTCCAACGGCACCTCACAGTGTTGTACAAATTTGACGATTTGGTTGAAAGAATGAACATCGGCTAGATGGACATTAAATTCTTCCAGCTTCGTCAACCCCTCTAACTCTACTTGTATTTCTACCGGCACTGATGTACAGCGAAGTCCAAGGGATTGGAGATGGGAGAGTCTGCTTAATGTCCCACCTGATATCTCCAGCCAATTGGTGTCTTCCATATTCAGATTTTTTAGATTGACCAGCGTGTCCACACCTTGAGGTACTTCCCTAATGCCTGTACCACTGAGGTCCAATTCTTCTAAGGCTCTAAGCTTTCCCAGCGGAGGCACGTATGTGAGTGAAGTACACTTCGCAAGCAACAATGCAGTGAGTTTCACCAAGTCTGATATGGAATTTGGCAACTCTTCAATCTCAGAATTATGGGACAAATCAAGAACCTGAAGGGCATGCATATGCTTGAAGAATGATTCTGCAATACTCACCAACTGATTTCGTTTCAAAATCAATGTCGAAAGACTATGACACCTCAGGGACCAGCCGCATGGAATTTCTTGTATGTTATTACGCATCAAGGAAACCTTTTCCAAATCCGGCACATTCTTGCAGATTGGGTATTTCCTTCAATCCAACCAGCTTTTACCATGAATCGAGGATGATTCGTTTCTGTTATCTTTAGTGCCATGTCCCTAATCAAATCATGCATCTTCACAAATGCCTTCCCTTCAGAATAGGGACTGTAGGAAAGGGTTCAAGAAAAGAGTTAGAAAATTCGAAGATCTTCGAAGATCCTTGAAGAACAACTTCGAATTCTCTAGAATATAGTGAGAGGCTTAGATTCTTCAATAATCTCAACTTAGGAACACAACAACAAAGGAGATGATGGAGATAAGAGATTGGGTGAAGAAGAAGGCAAAATGGCTAGAGAATAGAATAATGGCAAGGCTCTCCCATTGATCTCCCACTTTCACTCTCAAGGTTGATAATGGAGAAGGGAAATTAGTTCTTTCCCAAGAATTCAAAAATCTCCAAAATCCCTCCCTTGTAAAGCTATGGGTGGGTGCTATTTATAGGCACCTCATGATGTAGGATGGAGCCCATGTGCAAGGCACATGGGGGATATTCTCTCTAACCACCTTGTCCGAGGAGGTGACCCCTCCGAGCCTCATTCCACAAAATAGAAGATTGCACAGTAGTGACACAACACATGATGAGTTCAATCCACTTCTCATTTAGATTAAACTCATGAAGAGTTTCTCTAAGAAAGTGCCAGAATATGTTATCATAGGCCTTCTCAAGATCAATTTTCATGACCATACTACCAACTTTACCTTTCATATGTCCCATAAATGAATAGCTTCTTATGTAATGATAATGTTATCACTGGTATTCCTAATACAGATAAAGCTACTCTGATTAGGTCTCACAATATTATCGATGAGAGGTCTAATTCGATCCATCAAAATTTTTGTAATGACTTTGTAGGTCACATTACAAAGACTGATGGGTCTGAATTGTTTCACTCTCTCAGGGCTATTAACTTTAGAAATGAGTGCAATCAGAGTTCTATTGATCTCTTCGGAAATAGAGTTGTTAGCAAAGCAATTTTTAACAAAGGAACACACATAAGTACCAACAATATCCCAGTACTTGTGGTAGAAGATAGCCTGGAAACCATCATTTCCAGGAGCTTTAAAGGCTTTAATATTGTTCATAGCCTTCTTGATCTCAGTATGAGTGATAGCCTTATTTAAGTCTCTAATTTCTCATCTCTAGGTACCAATTTTTAGTAAAAAACAGCCATCCACACAGCCTTAGCATTAGAGCAGTTTCTAAAAAGATGATCCAAATCTTCCAACTCATTGCAAAAAGGGCGGGATGAGTTTTCAGTTAACCCCCTCATCACCCTCATACAATTAGTTAGAAGCTTTCCATGAAGCACAACCCAGTGGAAGCACTTAATCTTTTGGGGAAGTTTTGCATTTATTCCCCTTTTTTTTTTTTTTTTTTTTGAACTATTTTTTTTTTGAACTATTTTTTTTTTTTTTAAAGAAAAAAAAAAAAAAAACAAAACCTGAATTCTTCAATTCCATGAATCAGTAAACATGAGTCCAATTCTTCTTTTTCTTCTAAAATAACTAAAGATCTATTTTCTTATCCCAAGAAAATAAATAAATAAACAAAAGATTAGAGCACCCATTTATAAGGCCCACACTCACACTTTGTATTATAAAAAGGCAAGGCTGATGCACTTTTGAGTTTTTAATTTGAAAAAAAGAACAAACGGCAAACTCTTATATATATATATATATATATATGTATGGAATATTTGAAGGTATATTTAAGAGAATATGCTTTTCTTTTTGCCTATTTGTAAAAATAATGACAAGAACCCTAAACAATACATTTCCTTTCCTTTTTGCCTCCAGCCGCCAAGCTCCCTAAACAATACATTTCCTTTCTCAGCCGTCCCTCTCTCTCTAAAACAGAGACCAAGCTTTTTCATTTTCAAGAAAAGCTTTGCTTCTATAATATTAGACGCCACTGTCGTGCTCTCTTTCTCTAACAAAGAGAGACCCAACTTTCTTCTTCTTTTTTTGGTCTTCGGCAACCCAGTGGCACAATCTCACTAGCGATTTTTTTTTTTAATTTATTTGCAGGAGATCAAACTCCAAGGACCCATTTCGGCACAATTTCTCTCCAAACTGAGACCAACCCAAACTTCATCTTCTTCAAAGAAGCTCCGTAGCTGCCGTGCTAGATGGCCACTGCCGCTTGCTCATTCCGGCCGAGCCTGCATACCGTCGCCAACTCTGCCCGTTGGTGTAACTCTGGGCGCTACCATCAGCCTAAGCAAGAACCAACCACGGCGTTGTCCTGCGCGTGACTACTTCAACTCACGTGGTTTGTTCGTCTCACGCCCAGCTCTTGCACCGGTGTTTCATGTGAATTTGTCTTCGGCTGTTCAACGCGAACCACACGTCGCCCACTCAACGCGATGTGTGGTTTTGCCTAACACCATCCAGCTTGTTATTCTCACAGCCCAATGCTATTTTTCGAAGTTTGAATCTCGATTTTTGCATACTCACTAGATTCGGCCGTGATTAATCAACGCGGACCATGTCGCCGACTCAACGCGGCGTCGGTTTGCCTATCTCCTTTCTCGCCCACTGTTTCGTCCGCCATTCTCAACCTACGCCGCTTTTGGTCATGATTCTCTTCATTGCTTCTATAAGTTGCAAACCACACACGTTCGCCCTCTCAACGCAACGTGTGTGGTTGCTGACTCTTCTGTGGTACCAGCGTTGCTTCCGGCTTCAACTTGTCTGACGCCGACCATGCACGTTCGCCCACTCAACGCAACGTGTGTGGTTTTGCCAAGCCTAGCTCAGTCCTGTTGATTGTAGTCTATAAAACCTTTCTGATTTCAACTTGAATTTCCAACATCGGCTAGACGTGCTCGTCTTGAAATTTGTAGAGTAAATAAATGTTGTTGCAAAAGAAATCTGAGGCAATAAGTCCTTCATATCGTATATAAATCTTGTTATCGAATGATTGATTGTTGCGGCTCTAAGAATAGTAAAACCCGATATTGAGCTTTATATACTTGATGAATGAATTTCCGATATCCAAATTCGGTGAATGTTTCGCTTGGAAGAATAAACTGATGTAACAAAGCATAAGACCATATATTGTTATGTGTTGATCTTGTGGACACTTGAGGAAATAAAATGTTGATGCCAAAATTTTGTGTGACCATTGTAGTTTTACGTCGGCTTGAGAGGAACCAGCCCGGAGAGACAAAAACTTGATTGTTGCATTTTCATGAACTTGCTCAGAGTAATAAAATTGTTGTAGCTTAAATAGATAATTATTATTTGTTGATGTTGCCCCATTCTGATAATGCCTGAATCATGATCTGAAATTTATATTGTTTGTCTCAGTTGTCGGTTTTGCTATTTCAGGCAAATGAATTCTTGATTGAAATCCACGACCTCAGGGCCCTTGGAACCTGCACTAATGAGAGCAAGGGCTGTTCCTCGGAGGTCCGAACAAAAGCAAGACTGTCCCTCGGGAGTCCGAAGGTAGCACACACCCTACTTTGGCAAGAAAGATTCCTCTGGAAGATAACCGAGTCTACCAAGCTTGCACCAACAGAAGTAAAGATTGTCTCTCAGAAGTTCGAGTGAAAACAAGGCTGTCCCCCAGAAGTCCGAGCAGAAACGAGGCTGTCCCTCGGAAGGCTCTCCCTCAGAAGTCCTGTCCCAGTTTTGATCATTGTTGACTTCAACGGTTCCAACGCACACCACACACGTTCGCCCTCTCAACGCAACGTGTGTGGTTGCTGACTCTTCTGTGGTACCAGCGTTGCTTCTGGCTTCAATTTGTCCGACGCCGACCACGCACGTTCGCCCACTCAACGCAACGTGTGTGGTCCTGCCAAGCCTAGCCCAGTCTTGTTGATTACAGTCTGTAAAGCCTCTCTGATTTCAGCTTATATTTCCAACATCGGCCTCGGATATCACCCCTCTTAACTGTGGCTTTCTCTTCCTCTTGTATATACATATATTTTGTGGTAGTTTTGTATATACATATATCAGAATTTATGATTCCAATGACACACATTCTTCTTTTAACAGGTTAGAGACTGAAGCCGTGTGTACGTTGATTACTATTGTAGGGCCAAATTCAATCTGCTATTGAAGCCATGTGTACATTGTTGGTTTCAACCCGCTGCTACTTCATCGCCAATCACTATTGGCTTCTCTCTGCTGGTACTCCGCCATTGGCTTCAACTACTCCAACGTAGACCACGCACGTTGCCCCACTCAACGTGACGTGTGTGGTTGCCGACTTCCTCTGCGACATCCCCGTTGTCTTCATCTTCAACCATCCAGTGCTGACCACGCCGTTACCCATTCAACGTAACGTGCGTGGTTGCTCACTCTGTTGACTTCGGATTGTCCAACGCCACTCACACGCGTCGCCCTCTCAACGCGTCGTGTGTGGTTTGGCCTAGCACGGTTCAGCTTCAGTTTCCACTATCATTCATCTCTTTCTTGATCATTGCTGCCTTAATTCTGCTTCCTCAAATCTGTGGGTAAGTATATATACAAAAATATATTTACAACTTGGTACAAACTTTTTTTTTTTTAATTGCTTTCTTGCCCCTTTCGATAAAAATGTTTTATCTAGGACAATGCAATGAAATGATAAAATTTTTGCTATTTGGCTATTTTGGCATTGTTTTCTCATTCTACTTGATAAAATATTTATTTCGAATGATACAATGGAAAGAACAATCATACGCACATGTTTATAAAAGCTGAAATATTCTCATTAGTTCTTCAACTTTCTTGACAAAAGTATAATAGATTCACTGCAAGCGATGGGATAAAACGTACACCATAGAGAAAACCAGCTTCTTCATAACGTAAGGGAAATACAACTTTTAGACAAAGTAAGAAAATAAATTTCAACATAGATGAGTCCAACTATGGGTAGTAATGCTTGATAAACTTTGCATTAAGCGGGCCAGTTCGGAAGCCATCTTCAACCCTTACAAGCTTGTAGTACCCGCTTGAGCTCGCCTGGACCACCTTGTAGGGCCCTTCCCATTTTGGAGAAAACTTGGGCAAAGGTTGTCCTCGCATGATTGGGTCTACAATATTCCATACTAGATCACCTTCTTTGAACTTCCTTGGTACCACAGTCTGGTTATAGTCTCGGGCGATGGACTCATGATACCTTTCCATGACTTTTGCAGCTCAGATTTAAAACTGACACCTTTTAAATCCAAAAGTCATGTCTTTTAATTTAAATCCAATGGTTACACCCCTATGGTTTAAATCCAAAGGACATACATTTTTATTTAAACTCAATGGTTACACACTTTGGTTTAAATTCAAAAGTCACATATATTTAATAATTCATATAACTATATTATATATTTAAACATATATATGTATATATATTATGAAAATGTTCCAACAATCCTCCACCATTTTTAAAATATATGAAAATAACAATTTGGATAGATTAGGAAAATCTACACATAAATGAAGATATCTTTCGATTTGAATAAATCAATTAATGAAATCACATCAAAGTTAATCAAGATGGCATAGTAGACTTGTCTTTGAACTAGTGATCTAATACAATTAACCGGACACAACTCACACACAAATTTTCTTCTCCTTAGGTAATTCAAAAAGCCGACACATGGATTGATCTTATTTGTATATCATGTTTCATAAGCACTTTAGAGTCAAGTTCTTGGACTCATAGGAAGCGGCACCACCTCCTACACTCATATAGATAAGTTTACTAAAAATACTCCTGTAACTATAGTACCCTAACTCACCGTTCTAAACTTATTAAGAGCTAAGTAGCTCTGCCTCTTCTTTTGAATCACAGGTCCCAAGCACTTTACCTTGGATGGTTATAAAAAAAAAATAAAAAATTAAGTGCTTGCAATCACAACATATGGTGTACTTGGGCTCATTGAACTCAATGACTTGATGTTTCTTCAAGCGTTGAGTTGAGTTTTCACCATGAGTGATTATGTTACTTAGGCTCAATACCCATTCATATCAAATCCCTTGCAAGTATTTCTTAGAGAATTCACAATCACTTGGGCAAAATTCTTACATAGCTATGTATTACCACAGTTTATGACGTGATCAATATGTCCGGACTAACAATTACTATCATAACTATCAACTCATATTGATGATGAGTTTGCATATTAAAAAATTCAAGAAAAATCCGTGACAAAAATGCCATATCACTCCATCTCTTTTGCTACAAGAGACTAACAAATTGTAAAAATCATCTCTTTAATTTTAAGAGATAAATTCCCACCAAGAGTAATCTTTATTTACTCTAAGCCATAGTTTTAATATTAAGTGTTCAACTAGGTGCCTTTGTATCATTTTAAATAACTGGATATCCACTTCAACATATAAAATAACCATTCTCAATAATTTGAGAAATTAAATTGTAGGACTTAAACAATCAAATACTTTAGATATTTAGAATTAATAATTTATTATATCTTAAGTTTTATGATTTGTGCTTGTACTTGTTTTGAATCATAAACTAACCAACCAATATAAAATTTTCATTCAAACACAAGTTACATAAATTAGAAATTCTAATTTAATAACATTCAGAAAATTCACAAAGTATAGAATATATACTCTATATTTTATCAAGTTCAAGAAATCACAATCCCAAAATTATACATTGATTTTAATAATTAAAATCATAATCTAATTTTAAAAACATATTCTTGAAAACTTCCGCAGAATTTTTTTTTATGATGAGATCTCAACATGAGAGAACTTGAGGAGCCCTAGGGCCAACCACGAGTCTCGTTTCAATAATCCGAACCGTTTATTTCGTAGGATCCTAACCTTAAGCTCTTTGAACGACTTTTTACAGGTCTCACTTTACACAAACTTAGCCCATTTCCTCGTCAATCTAGTCAATGGTGAGGTTAATCTAGACTTTCCTTGATAGGAACTTGAGATACTAACTTATAAACAAATATACGTAATTGAAATTCTAACAATTATAAAATTTAAATGCATAATATTCCTCAAATAAAAGTTAATCATGGTCATACACAATCACAACATTTATTTAAAGCATTGACATAAAATTTCATTACTAATCTATTGACAAAGTGAGGCCCACCATTTTATTCTCTTTTGAAAAACAACAAGATGTGTGTATAGAAAAATACTTTAAAATCATCAAATAGTTTCTCTAAAATATCGAAAAACACCATTGTGCGAAATGTTGGCTCCATCCACTACCCACATGGTAAGGAGCCCACCATCCACATGGTGTGGGTGGCACCATGTGATAAAAGAAGCTAGTGGAGGGCAACACCAACTCACTAAAGGAAGATAGTGAGGGTGGCACCACCTTGGCCAATTATGGCTATCACTTCACCTACTCCTCCTCTCTTGGTTATAAATTGAGATGAGTGAGGAGGGGTTAGAGATATCAGAAATTGGAGAGTGAGAGCTGTGAGTTAAGTGAGTTTCATCTCCTCCCCTGTATTTGTATTTTTGCTCAATTTTAGTGAAAATTCTCATTTCTGTTCGTGGATGTAGGCATTGGGCCGAACCACGTAAATATTTTGTTCTCTGTGAGTGTGAGATAATTATTTCTGGGTGTGTTTGATCCTAACAAAGTGGTATCAGAGCTGGTGTTGTACGTTTTTCGGAAAAACAGAGTATTGTTCCGAAACTGCCCAGAAATCGTATTGCTCGAAATCAGATTTTGAGCATACTAGGAGTAAGGGCTCGACGAGAGGAGTCCAGAAATATAAAGCAGACACCCAACGGAGGCCGGACGCGCCCTTACGCGCCTCTGAAAGTTGGCGCGTGAGTCCCAGTCCTGTCACGAGCCAACACGCGCCGTGCAGGCACCCGGCGCGTGGTCCCAATCTCACCCACACGCCCCACGCGGGGATGAAGGAAGAAGACGAGTGGGCAGGCAGCGCGTGTCCACCCACGTTCCTAGAACACGCGCAGGCCGCGTCAGCGTGCCACATCGTCAACACGTGGCGACATGTCAGCAAAGGTATGCCACGTGTCTGCCCCGTCAGCCAGAGGCAGAGAAGGATCCAGTGCTTTGCGGCGAAGGTACAGCTGCAGATCTGAGGCGTACAAAATGTTTTGGCTAGATCGAAGCCATTTGGAGTCCGTTTTTGGTGATCCAATAGTGGTTTCCGACTATTTGGAGTATTCCGGACACATCCGTACGGTCAGATTTTGAAAATAAGCTTTCAAAAATTTGCCTTCTTTCTTTTGACAATTCGAAGTGTTTTTCGGGCTAATTTGACCAGTTCGGACTCCACAACAAAACTTGTTTTTCAGCCAAAGATCATTTTTGTATGATGGAGGAATCAACGTCGACTTCAGGTTCCATGATAAAGTTAAATGCTTCCAATTATGCCATTTGGAAGCCCAGAATGGAAGATGTCTTGTATTGCGGAGATTTGTTTGACCCCATTGAGTTTAATGGAGTTAAACCACCAACGGAAAAAAATGAAGACTGGAAGCGGAAGAGCCGCGGAGAATGGCATAATTGGCGACTAATATATTTAGGGGTTGTTTGGGATGTCCTAAATAAGTGCACTTTTTGTCTTTTTGAACTAAAAAATTGAGGAGAAAAATATAGATGTTTGGGTTAACTTTTTGACTTTTTATGGAAAAATGTGTATTAAAAAATTGTAAAAATTAGTTTATAAGGGAAAATTAGGATTGGGAATTGTGCCGCCGTAATTGTTGACTTTTGGTGAATAGTGTTAACTTTTTAACTTTTTGAGTAACTTTTTGACTTTTTCTCAATACCTCAAACTTGGCCTAACCTTTAAACCTTCTTTTATTATAAATTTTGATAACGACTATATTAATAATATTTATTAATAAAATTGAAATAATTATATATTTTATGAGTAATAAAATTATATAATGATTTTTAAAATGAGTGAAGAACAAATGGGTGTTCAAGTTGAAGAAAAGAAATGGGTGGAGATCAATCTCATGCCCTCGTCACAGAAAATAAAAGCAGAGATAGAGGCAGGGGCAGGAGAAGAAGCAAAAGTAGAGGACACAGGAGAGAAAGATCTCAAGACAGAGGGAAATCCAGAGAAGGTACGAGCCGGCCAAAGTTCAAATGTTACCATTGTGGCCAGGAGGGTCACATAAAGAAGTATTGCTATGCCTTGAAGGGAGAACAACAACAAGGCAATAGACAGCCAAAGGCCGAAGATGGGACCACTACAGTTTCTGTCTCAGAGGATATTGCATTATTCTCTGTTGAAGAAGAAGAATGCCTCCATATGTCAGACAACGACACCGAGTGGGTGGTAGATACAGCAGCTTCGTACCACGCTACATCCCAGAAGGAGTTCTTCAGTACATACCAAGCTGGAGATTTTGGTACAGTGAAGATGGGTAACTCCAGTTCTTCAAAAATTGTGGGAATTGATGATGTTAATATCCAAACCAAAGTTGGGTGCACGATGGTATTGAAAGATGTTAGGCATGTTCTCGATTTACGCCTAAATCTTATTTCAGGGATAGCCTTAGATCGACAAGGCTATGAGAACTACTTTGGCAAAGGCATATGGAAGTTGAAAAAGGGATCTCTCGTTGTAGCCAAAGGACAGGCAATTGGCACACTATACAAGACTCATGTGGAGGTGAATTCATATAGTCTCAACGCAGCAGAAGATGAGACGTCACCAAATTTGTGGCACAAAAGGCTGGGTCACATGAGTGAGAAAGGGTTACAGATTTTTGGCAAAGAAGTCACTTATTCCCTTTGCCAAAGATGCAAAATTAAATCCTTGTGACAACTGCTTGTTTGGGAAGCATCATAGAGTAGCTTTCCATTCATCATCCAGAAGACAATCAGAGTTGTTGAGCAGAGTATACTCTGATGTTTGCGGTCCCATTGAAGTGGAATCTTTGGGTGGTAGAAAATACTTTCTGACATTCATTGATGATGCATCACGGAAGGTATGGGTTTATGTCTTAAATACCAAAGCTGAGGTGTTCCAGCATTTTCAGACTTTCCATGCTATGGTGGAAAGGAAGACTGAAAAGAAGATGAAATGTCTCCGAACAGACAATGGAGGCGAGTACACGTCAAAGGAATTTAAAGCCTACTGTGCTACTCACGGCATCCGGCATGAGAAGACTGTTCCTGGAACCCCACAACAAAATGGTATAGCCGAGAGAATGAACCGAACCATTGTGGAGAAGGTCAGATGTATGCTCAAAATGGCAAAGCTACCAAAGCCATTTTGGGGAAAAGCTGTTCGTATTGCTTGCTATTTGATCAACAGATCGCCATCAGTTCCACTGAATTTTCAGATTCCAGAAGAAGTATGGTCTGGAAGGGAGATTTCTTACTCTCACTTGAGAGTGTTTGGGTGCAAAGCATTTGCACATGTATCCAAGGAGCACAGACAGAAGCTGGATGACAAAGCCACTCCATGCATCTTTATTGGCTATGGAGATGAAGAATTTGGATACAGATTGTGGGATCCGAAACACAAAAAGGTCATTCGAAGCCGAGATGTGGTGTTCCAAGAAGGCCAGACCTTCGAAGACTTTGGGCAACCAGCCAAACCCAAAGTTGATGATGTTTCAGAAATTATTCCAAACCCTGCACCATCACAGCATGCCACTGATGAAGAAGAGTTACCGCAGCATGCAGTCAATAATGTAGAGTTGCAGGATGGATTTCTAGAAGAAGAAGATCCAGAAGCAGAGGGTGTTGAGCAGGGGGAGCCACAACCCCCTCTACCAGAGACTGTTGGTCCACAGTTACGAAGATCAACAAGAGAATTTAAGCCGTCAACCAAATACCCTACTTCTGAGTATATTTTGCTTACCGATGAGGGGGAGCCAGAAAGTTTTCAAGAAGCTCAAAATCATAAGGAGAAGAGTAGCTGGCAGCAATCTATGCTAATACCCTTTCGAGTCCGGGCCCGAGTAAGTCTCTAGGTTCGTGGATCCGAACCCTTTCGAGGCTTAGAGCCATTCAGCCCGTTTGACGGCGATAAATCCAAGCCCACCAATCTTGGACTTGCGATAAATTCGGGCCCACTAATCTTGGGCTATTGGGTCTAAATAATTTAGTGGGTTTAAATTAGCTCCTCTTACAGGACAATTCTCCAATAAGCAGGACCTTTCAAGTTTATTCAAGATAGTGTGACCCTCGTCAAGCTTTCTTATCAAACTCTTACTTCTGTCAATCAGTCCCTCGGCAATGAAATATCTTATTAATTCATTTCTTGGTATTATCATATCTTCAGGATACAAGGCACAATACAAGAAACAATGCTTCAATTTCATATCATTCAAGCGACTATAACTAAGTTCCAATGACGGTAATACATCCTTTTCCATGTCTTCGTGCCCCATTGTAAGTTTCTTCAGTTCTTCAAACACATTCCTCCACTCACAAATGTCGTCCACCCCTCTCATGCTTCCAGCCATGGTAATAATCCCAAGTGCAAACCATCACATTCGGCTGCCACAAATCTTGCAATATCTATTACTTCTGGAGAAAGTGTCCTTTCCTCCCCATTACAAAGTTTCGCCCAAAATAAGTTCCAAGCTGCTTCTTCAGAAAGAGGTTCCACTTTGAACTCTTTGCATCCCATCTTGCGGCATACATCGAACAAGCGAGTAGTGAGGATCAACTTACATCCATTAGGAATTCCGACCCTATGTAGATCAATTTTATGCCACACATCATCCAAAAAGAGAACACATTTCCCCCTACTTGCAAATGCTTGCGACAATTCTGCTGCCCTTTTCTTCTCATCATTCTCATTTGACAAATCTAACTTCAAACATTTAGCAATGTCACTCTGCAGCTTACCAATGCTATATGTTGTTCCAACCCACATGCATGAAAAACATGGGAAGGCAACCAACCAAGTCAAGCTTGGCAGCCACCAACCATAGCAAGGGTCAAGAATGGAGGCTACCCAAGTCAAGAATGAAGGCTCTCCCACCTACTCCTTTTGTGTATAAATAGAGATGGGAGGGAGAGGATGTGAAATATCAGAAATTGGAGAGTGAGCGTTGTGAGTTGAGTGAGTTTCATCTCCTCCTCTGTATTTGTATTTTTGCTCCATTTTAGTGAAAATTCTCATTTCTGTCCGTGGATGTAGGCATTGGGCCGAACCACGTAAATATTGTGTTCTCTGTGTGTGTGATATTTTTTTGGGTGTGTGTTTGATCCTAACACTATAATCATGGTCCTTTGATACAGTACACCAAAAGACACGATCACGAGTTTCAAGGTTTTCAATAAGTTTATTATGGATGTTCACGGCCTGGGATGTTTTGCCGACTCCCCCCATTCCACAAATCCAATGCGTAATCTTTCAGAGTCATCCATTAAGCATGCCCAAATTTTCTTCAGATTTTTCCGTACTGTTTGGCCTATTAATTTTGTTGACAACAGAGATTCTCCTCAGGTCGCACACACGTCAAGTAGAAGCCCCCCTTGAAAACTACCTTGCTCATGGAGTTGCGCAATTTCTGCATTCAATTTATCAACACGATTTCCCAACAAGAGCAAAGAAATTTTCCTTTCTCGTACTTCTTGTTCTAAGTTTTGGAATCCATTTTTCATCCGTTCTACATTTCTCAGCCAATTTTCAACTTCGTGTTTCTGTTTCTTTCTTGTTTGCAATTCTGCATCTTCTACTTCTGCTTTTACGTCAGCTGCTCGGCTGTCCAACGCTTCTAAGTTGTTTCTGAGTGTTTGCATCTTTTCATCCTGGCCGATTAATTTCCTCAACAGCTCCATTTCAATAGCACTGCCTGATGCCTTAAATTAGTGAGCAAAGATTGTGCAAGTGCAAATGAGGGGTCCAACTTTTGGCAGAAGAAAAAACTTCAGTGTTTCTTTTTTGACAATGATGTTGCCCAGCTAATAAAATAAAATAAAAGAAGAATAATCATAATAAAAGAGAGGCAAAGGCTCCTCTTCGTATGGTTTGCAAATGACCATTTTTGAAAACATTTATCAACTTTCCTAGAGAAAATGTTTCCACCTCATACTGTGTCCAGGTTAAGAAATACACACAAAAAAAAAAAAAGAAAAAAAGAAACAAAGTAATGTGATAATTTATAATTATTTTATATCACAAAGGTAAGCAAGTGATAATTAATACCACATGAGAGAATCCTCTCATGTTGTGATTTACGTGGGTCCATGTATACAAACATTTTTTACAAACATTTTTTTTTTCAAATGTAATATGGAACTCAATTTAACAACCTATAACATGCCACATGAGTTTGTAAAAATTGTTAGTTTGAAGTCCAGCCTTTAGGTTAAAATTTCATTTTAAGTCCGATACAAAATAATATTAAAATCTAAAATTTACCCAACAAACTTATGTTAAAGGAGAAATTGCACTTCATTGTAACTTTTCAAAAGAAATTGAAAATCAGTGGTGAACTTTTCCAATTTTAATAATCAAAATTATAATTTTTGTATAAATTTATAAATATTTTATGAAAATACCGTTTATTTGCAATTTCTCTATATTAAATACAAAATAAATATTTTAAAATTAAAAATAATGACTTGCATGGTTGAGTTGGAAAAAAACTTAATCATTACATTATCGAACTGAAATAGTACATTTTCCAGCTTAAAAGCATGCTCTAATTTCTTATACAAGAATGGAAGCATAAAAAATTAAAATTAGTTATTAAAATGTGAAAAAACACAATTGTTTGGGTTTATTTCATGTTTATATCTCAATATAAGAGAATTTAATGATCTGTGGACACCATCACAGGTTCCATTTCAATGTCTAAACTGTTCATTTTGTAAGGTCTTCAATATATATCATTCATAAAAAAAATAAAAAATAAAAAAAAGAAATCAGTTCAATCTAATAATCATAATTTTCTCATTTTATCGTGTTGGTTTCTAAAAAAATAGACAATAAATATATTTTTGAAAAAAGATCATCAATTTTTTTAAGGACAAATGTGATAAAATGAATAGATTACAATTTTTGAATTGACCTAATTTTTATTATGAATGATACATATTGAAAATTCTATAAAATGATTTAGATTATTGAAACAAATCCCATGGTGGACTATGTAAAGTCTTAAATACTACATGTTGAGATGTTATCATGAAAAAAGAAAATGAGTGAGAGCACTAATTAGTGATGCCACTAATGATGTGGCAGTGGGCCCCACCATGAATGATTTGATATTTTGGTCTTGTATTTTTTTCTTTTTTTATTGAGTACCATGTCATTAGTGATCTTTTAGAGCTCCAAAATTAGTGATCTCTATCATTGTTGCATGAAAAACTCATACATGTTGATAGTTGTGCAAGAAGGAAACAAACCAGCATACTATATTGCACATTAACATAGACACAGATGGAAAGATATCATCAATCATCCTATTAAGCATCTTTTAAGAAAGAACCCAAAAATTAAAAGCACGCGGTCCGGCCTAAGCAGAGTAGGCTTAGGCATCCTTTGAAGCGAAAAATCAAACATATGCAAGACAGTCTAAAATAAATAAATAAATAACAAATAAACAATAAAAAGAAAAAGAAAATCTCAAGAGATGTTTTGGTGATAGTTTAGCTACCTGATCGAAATCTGAGACACTACTGAAAGATCAAAACAGATTGCAATGGATGGCTTAGAAGTAAATCTATGAAAAAACTAGACAAACAACAAAAGTATTTCCTCTTACAAATCTTTCTCAGAATAGAGAAGAGAAAAGGGGAACTGGCAACAAAAGAAATGCGGAAACCACCTTCCTGGAAGGTGCAGTAAAATTATATAATAAGAGAGAGTAGGTCAATAAGTAACCATTCTATACACCTTTTTTTTCTTTTTCTTTTTTAAGAGAGAGTTGGTAATTGGTATGTACACCAAACCAACCATGGCTTTCTTCTTCTTCTTCTTCTTTTTTTTGTCATTTTTGTTTTGGAGGTGATGAGATTTTGGACTATTTTGTAAATTCATGTCAATTTGTTTGTCCTTTTTTAAATGTTGTGCTCTCATTGCATCGTATTCGTTTTTAGTTAGACCAATTTTGACGTTTCCGTAATTTACCATGCCCATGATCGTGGGTCGGTGGGTGGGAGCACCCTAAATTTTTTTAAAATTATGTATATTATATTAGTAATTAAAATATTTTATATTTTTAAAATTTCAACAGTTTGCATTATTAAAACTATAAAGATTTGCACTCTAAAATTATTTACGTTACAAAATTTTAAAAATAATTTTTAAATCAAATTTTATTAAATATTGACCTATTATATTTGTTATTTGTATTATTATTTGTTATATTTTTATATTATTTAGAGTAGAAATGACTACAGGATGGGTTTGTCGTCCTCTACTCCAGCCTCGTATCATTTGAGGGCGGGCAAATCAGGTTGGTGGCAGGGCAGGGGTGGTTAATTTTATAACTTAAAAAATAGAAATATTAATAAAAATTATAAATAATATACTATATTTTGGATAGTGATTTATAATTATTGAAATTTAAAAAAAAAAATATAAGATAAAAAAGAAATTAGTGAAAACAATTATTAAATATAATATTTTGAGTTTTAATTTTATCATATTAAAAATAAATAAATAATGTATATATTATATACATACAAATATATGTATATACATACAAATATATGTAGTAAATATAAATGGGGCAGGTGTGGATTAGAATGGAACAGGCGAAGCAAAACTTGCTCCCGCCCCATTTTCTCATTGAGGTGGGAACAATTCGTGCATTGCTAGGCAAGGGATAAGGGGGTGGGTACCTTACTTAATTTGCTTATGCACCTAACTTTACATTCATTCTTATTTGTTTATTCTCCAAAAATAAGAATATTATCTAGAAATGAAAATATTGTTTATGTTTAACATGACATTCTTAAAAATAAGTTCATATTAGTGAAACGGATTATCATTCTACTTATAAAAATATACGTTTTCAACTATGAAATTTTTTAAAAATAAACAACGTAATAGAATGAAATATAATTTTGTAATAAGTTGCTTGATCATATTTATTGAAAAAAATATTATTTAAAGTTTTGATTTCGAACCTATCATAGATGTTTTTGTATATATTATAAAAAGTGACGATTATAACATTTTTAGATAGTTAATCTTAATAAACAGAGACATAAAAATAGCTATTATTTTTATTAAGTTAATGCAAACAAAAAAAATGTCCAAATATATTTTTATTCTCAATTATGTTGACAAAGAATGTCTCATTAATAATAATATTATTCACTTTTTTGTGTTAGAATAAGTCAAAATTTAAAATTTTATGATAATTTTTCAAAAGTTCAAATCCTGGATCCGTGAACCACAGTTTCACATGAATTTCTCCGCTACCAATTTATCCAGCTCTCAGTTCAGCGAATTCATTTGGAATTGAAGTGGGTTTTGCAACTATGATCTCTATCACTGTCAAGTTTTAACCAGATCTTTCACGATCGAACCTCACAACCACATCTCTCAGATCGATGCCCACAACCACATCCATTCAACCAGATCGCCATGATGCTACAAGGTTTAGCGAGATCTCTTCAACCTCCCATTTGTGGTTCTTTTTGATGTTATTTTTGCTAAACTTGAAGGTTATTTTGAGAATTGATTATTTTAGTTAAATTTTTTAATTTTTACAGCAACAAAAAAAAAATTGTAAAAAATAAAAAGAATGATTAATTGTTTTGTAATGATTTTTTAACTTTTCAATTATTCTAATCTATTGTCAAAACAAAACTTCGTTTGGCATTTGATTTTTGGCTAAAAAAATACAAAAAGACAACATTAGTTACATAAGCTAATAAGATAAAATG